GCATACACTGATATGACGAATAAGTATGGAAGGGTCACACAGGTTCCGTTAGTCTCCCTCGGCTGGGGGCCTCGGGATGATCGTAACACCTTAGTGTGACAAACATGAAACGGGATAAACTCCATATTCCCGAGGACCTGCTGCTCAGTGATGAAAACCGGTAACCTCGGTCACCCCGGGACTTGGAATGAGGCAAAGCATGTAAGACCCCGCTAGGTTGGGCTTGGTATTGAACCAGGCGACAGCAAAGCTGCCTACCTACCACTTCATTTGGGTGGAGTTGGTGGGGTCGAATCTCGGACCCTAGGAGGCAAAGTAACTACACAACTGCACCATTGGCTTTGGTGTTTTTTGTTATTGACCATTTCGGCCAACGCAAGCTTGCATCGACACGTATATATCATAGCACGCTTGGAATCCGGGAAACGAAGAGTTCGGTCGTCCCTGATCACAAACCTTCCAAATCGTTTATAACCTGAATGACAAAATCAGTTCCGTCTAAGATGGAGCAAACTACATTACACAGTCTGAGCTGAATTTTATTTTCGTCAATTGTGACATAACAATAGTCTATAGCTTGAAATCATCATCATCAAATATCGATTTATGTCTATCGATTTCCTGTTCCCTTTCCCGCTTTGCTTGTCTACAAGGAACCAAAATCGATTCGGAAAATCCAAAAGAGAAAATGATCGCGTTAGCCGTGTACGTGGCTGTCGGACTGTCCCTGTTCGCAATGTGTTTCAATCTGATGGAAGAGGAAGTGATCCAGAAATTGAAACGTCTCGGTCGTTTTATCGGTCTGATCCAAGATCCAGTCGGGGAGAGAAAAATTGATGAAACACTTCAATCGGATTCGGTGGACAACATGCTCTGATCACGAGCGAGCATGTGGTAATGGGGATGGGGCTAGGGTGGAATTCGGGAGCCGAAACTGACAGAAGCCTTGCATATCCCTCCTATTGTATTATTGTAATTATTCGTGTGATTATTGCTACCATTACTCATGTTACTACATTATCGTTATCTCAAAGCACGACAACGGAACAATATACCCCCCTCCCGTCCTCCCTCTATCAGTCCACCTGGTTCTCGCTAGAGAACACAAATCCACTGTTTTGTTTTTTTTATTTAATCCTCGTCATTACACATATTTCAAATAGGAGTACACAATCGATGAATCTCGCGTTTTCCCTCTGTTTCGTATAAAGCACCTGGGTGTGTGTGTGTGTGTGTTTGTGGAACTCGAGATTTTTGTGTTCCGTGGTACATTTGTATGCAGTCTTGATAGGGGGTTGGAATTTTGGTTGGAGATTCACATTTTTATCCAACAACTTTATTCTACTTGCGGTGAGTTGAGTCAGGAATAATGCAGTGCAGAGCACCAAAAAACGGGTGTGTGTGTACAAGTAGTGNCCCCCCCCCCCGGGAGAAGTAAGCGACTCGCTGTTGGGCGATAAAATACATATTTGTGTGCCGTTCAACCTGGTCTGCATTAGTTGAATGGGGGTCTAAATGCGTTTGTGACAGTGCTCGTGGCTATTTACTTACTGCCATTTAGCTCGTTTCCAAATAGCTGAGGGATGTAGAGATTCTGATAAAAAAGAAGGAAAAATCAATTGCGTTGGCCCCTCCTGGCCTTTCTTTGCTAACAGACATTATGGTGCCAAAAACAAGCCCCTTGCTCCGATGTGTGTAAACGAAGGTGAAGTAAACCGAATTGGGCAAAACGTTACCACACGACAGCATTCTGACCACAACTGGGAACCCAGGAAGAGTTGATCCTGCAGTCTGGCTACTTGAAAGCGAATTGCTACAAGTTGTACTAACATTAACAGCATTTTCAGTTTATTTCATGTGAGGTCTATTATATTTGAGGTCGATTAGATAACCTTCTTCTAATGAAACGACATTACGAATGTAATGTGCCTCGTTAACAGGAACGTCTGCACTCAAACATTTATGTGTGGTAGTATGTACAACGAACGATCCTTCCATGTCAATGTGTCACGTCAGATCACAGCCCCAAGAACACCACTGAAATCAGAAGTCAAAATGAGCGAAACAAACCATGGCGTGTGTGTGTATAGTCAGAATGACAATCACTAATCCAATGGTGATACTCAATATTTTCTGCAGTAAACATCGACTGAGATGCAGTGCCAGAATTCCGGAATTAAATCGTGCTCGCTTGCAGTGCGTTGTGTTCTTTGTTCAAATAATGAGGAGAGCATAAATGTGATTGTCTCGGTATCCTTTCGGTTGTGTACGGTATCCTAGTATGCTTTCGATGGGTCCGTCGCAGCAGTTTTGACTAAACCTGTAAACCGTGGTGCCAACGAATTGATTGATAGTTCACGGAAATAATAGCATGTAGGAAAAATAAATAACTTCAAATCGGCACTTTCACATCGTTAGGTTAGTTCCTTTGACTGGAACAGCCATATCACCATCATGATCCGGTTCGCATGAAACGGCTGCTTGCCAACAAGATTATCCGCTTCATAACTTTGTACAGTTCAGATGGTTCAAATGATACGATCAGTTTGCTCTCAAAAAATTTGCACAAGTGTCGAAAAAGATTGAAGAGCAACCATGTCCGCATTCGGGACTCGAACCGAGAATCAAACTAAGGATTTGTGATGATATGATAACCTATTTCGTATTAATTCCGATAGTGCAAATATCATTTGGCACGAGTTATTCCGTTCACTGAAATTCTTTCTTTTCTTTCTTTTTCATTTTACTTTCTTATGTTATTGAATGTACAAATATACAATTTTCAGGAAGGGGGAAGCGGACAATCAAAGGGCTGCCATACAACACACAAATGGGGAAAGTCAGGCGGTGGTGGTGGGATTCGAACACTCGTCGTCCTCCGGGGTGATAATTTGGTGACGTTACCACCGGGTCACCCCCACCGCCCTCACTCGTATTGTTAGATTGCACAAAACAGTTCAGCCAGACGTTCTTGGGATTGTTTGCTGTGTGACTCCATACACATACACGCACGCACACACACACACACACACACACACACACACCAAACACCAGACTT